CTCTGGATCTTATCATTTAACTTGGCCCTCTTCATACATGTCACCTCCAGTGAGCCTTAAGTAACTAATAGAACCCATCCAGGTATCCCCTGTCCTCATTGGTCCTATCTTCTACCCATTTCCTGTGAATCCTGCCTGGTGGCTGGATCACTCATTTCACTACTAGCATTCCTGTAACTTCTCCCAAACCATCTTCTCCTGTTCTCCACTTATCTCTCACCAGGTGGGGATTATCCCCATACAACTCTTACTTCAGTTTCTTAGATCTTTGAAGAGAGTTCACTCCACATCAGTATCCTGGGAATGCTTACAGTTCAATGGGCATGTTCCCATTTCTTTTATTCCTAGTGTATCTTATGGTTCAGGTCCACTTGGACATTTCCACTGTAGTGTCTCACACCAGCTGTCAAGGGGGCACCCATTCCAATATCATCTACTTCCAGATGTTAGGTTTTCTCTTTTGGACTCATTACAATTGAGTGAGCTCAGCTGCCTTCCATGCCTTGGGTACATTGGATATCATTGTGGACCATCTATCATGATGGGACCACTTCCCATTCACAGAATGATTCCTTCCCCTACAGACTTCCATTGGGTTCATTCCCGATTTAGTATGCTTTTATTAGCTGTGTTTGTTTCACCACTCTATACCAATATGTCCTCATTCTGGTTTCCTGTTCCCCACCTTTCAGCCTTGGCTGTACATATTCTCAGTCAGGACTGGCCTCGTCTCCTCCTCTATGCCTATTCTTCTTTCTGCCTTCACATCAGTGTTCTTGTACTGTCTTGGGACATCCAGTACCAAATAACGTTGGTCACCCTCTACTGGGCCACCTAACCTTGGTTGCCTGTTTTAAATCTCCTCTTGACTAAATCCCTCCCTTCCTCTTCTCAAGTTTCTGTTACTTCTTTTACACTTCTCACAGCCTTTTTCCATCTCTATGTGTATTACCCTCTTTGTATGTGGGATTATCCAGTCTGTCATCAATCAAGCTGGATTTTTCCATACACTATCATCCATATAATTCTTCCCCTATTCTGTTTACCAGTGGACATGATGGGCTTTCTGCCATTGATTTCTCCTTTGTCATTTCCCCCCTGACTAATCTACCTTTCATCAACTCTCCTCTTTCTTTCCTTACTGTTGCTGAGTCTCAGGATTCTTTGTCCATTACCTTCTGCCTCTCCAAATTCTACATTGTTTTTCTTCCCTCCCTTACTTTACTACTCTCTTATGCTCCTCATTACTATATATATATATATATATATAC